GGGCAGCCAGAGGCGGCTCTGGGCCCCGGGGGAGCAGGCTGGCCCTGACTCAGCGCCTGAGGAAGGGAATTTCCTGAAGGCCGGGCTCCAGAACCAGAGCTCCCGAGCCAGACACGTCTGTGTATGTACCAGCCTCCCTCGCCGGGCAAAACCCAAACACAGGCCCTCACAGGCCGGGGAGAGGGCTGTCCGGCTCACACACGCCCTGGAGGGCCACGGAGGCGGCCTGGGCGGCCGGCACCTTTTCTTAGAGACGTGGTGGTGAGACAAATACATAATGAAAATAACAGACACGGTGGTGCCCGCCCGCAGGCGTGCTCAGCAGTGCAGCCTTCGATTCCCGGTGTGGGCTCCATCCCAGGGGGGGCGTGCGGGAGGCAGCCGATGGATGATTCTCTCTCATCATGGATGTTTCTCTCCTCCTCCCTCTCTGAAATAAGTAAAAATATATCTTTAAAAGGATATGGTGAGCCCTAACCGGTTTGGCTCGGTGGAAAGAGCGACGGCCTGTGAACTCAAGGGTCCCAGGCTCGGTTCCGGTCGAGGCAGGTACCTGGGTCCCAGGCTGCTCCCCAGCTCGGGCCCTGGTCAGGGCTCATGCAGGAGCCAACCCATCCATGTGCTTCTCTCGCAAGGATATTGCTCTGTCTTTTCCTTTCTCTCCACTCTCCGTAAACATCAGTGGGAAAATGTCTCTGGTGGGGATTAAGAAAAGGAGAAAGAATTCTGTTGGGTGATTCATTCACACAAAGGCTCCATTCCAGTCAGAACCTCCATGTCAGAAGCATCTGAGCTCCTGGCGGCTGCAAAACAGGAATTAAGATTCTGCCGGCAAGTATGAAGTCACCCTCCTTGTTATGTTTCAGAAACACGACGTGAACAATAGCCTGCTGACTGGAAAGTGTAAGGACCTCCCGCAGAGCAGCTGCTCCAGCTGCTGCCGTGGGAACCTCACTCAGGAGGAACGTGGTCACTCACTCACCGTCTGTCTCACCAGCAGGCCCCGGCCGTCCTCGGGGCACAGACCATTTCCAGCCCGGGCGGTCCATGTCCTTCCCTCCCCACCGTGACTAAGGCGGGAACTCACCGATGTAAAGGTTGGGACGCATCCATTTAAGCCTGAGGCTCTGACCCTGAGAGTGTGTCTCTGTGTGTGTGTGTGTGTGTGACTGATAGAGACAGAGGGATAAAGGGAATGATGGAAACTGACCAATTGTCTGGGGAACACGAGTTCAGGGTAAAACAACGAAGTGTCAAGAAGCAAAATCAAAGAGCAATCAAGTGCCCAGCCGGCAGGGCTGAGTGTCGAGCTATGAACCAGGGGTCAGGGTTCGATTCCTGGTCAGGGCACTTGCCCGGATTGTGATCCCCAATGTGGGGGGTGCAGGAGGCAGCGATCCATGAGTCTCTCTCATCATGGATGTTTCCATTTCTCTCCCTCTCCCTTCCTGTAGGAACACTGTGTTAAAGCACACCTGCAGGAGCACTTCCTGTGCCGGAGCACGCCTGCAGGAGCACTTCCAGAGTTCTGGGGAGTGTTAAGCCCCAGCATGCCATTTTGCACTTTTTTAGAAAAAAACCCCAAGGAATGGTTGGAAGATCCACAGAGTTTGTAGAAATTAGTTTGAAGTTGGGGTAAACTCTGGAAATATTCTTTTTCATCTTAATGCTGAATATATGAAACAATTGAAGGATGAACTTTGCATATTAATGCTGGACATGTATAACTTAATCAACTGGTTCAAAATTTTAATTCATTAAAAAGCTAATTAGACCCTTTTTCTGGCTTATCTAATTCAATAAACGTAATTTAGCCCAAGTGAAATGAAATCTAATTCACGCTCTGAACGGGCCAAGTGTCTATCACATTATGAGCGTATCAGGCAGGCATTAGTAACCACCGCTGGAGAGTTCTGCTCATTAGGAACAGAGGGAGCTGGTGGGGAGGTCTGCAGCGTCTGGGGGTCCAAATCAGGCCCCTGTGATGGCCCAGCATCGTCACTAGAACTAACGCAGCCCCCCTCTGGGTTTGACAACACTGGTCTCCGAACATCGCCCTCTGCTCACTCTCAGGCCTCCAGGGCGTGGCGGGCTGAGCGGGGGGCTGGTGGCGAGGCGGGCTCTCGTAGGTACTGCACGGGCCCTGCACCAGCCACCTGCCACCTGCCACCTCCCACTCAGGGCTTCCACGCTCGCCTCCCAGCCTCAAGGAACGGCCAGATCCTCCTTCACTTAAGTCAGTGGTCAGCAAACTCATTAGCCAACAGAGCCAATGTCAACAGTACAACTGTCGAAATTTCTTTTGAGAGCCAACTTTTTTAAACTTACACTTCTTCCAACGCCACCTCTTCAAAACAGTCTCGCCCAGGCCGTGGTATTTTGTAGAAGAGCCACACTCCAGGGACCAAAGAGCCAAATGTGGCTCTCGAGCCGCAGTTTGCCGACCACGGACTTATGTCATTCAGAGGCTTTGAAGAATCCAAGGATTTGATCATTTAAAAAAATCATGCCAAGCCTAGCTTACTCCTGTACTTTTTTGGTTGTTAATCCTCACCCGAGGATATTTTTCCACTGATTTTTAGAGTGGAAAAGAGGGACGGACAGAGAGAAACAACGTGAGAGAGACACATCGATTGGTTGCCTCCTGCACACAACCCAGGTGTGTGCGCCTGGGACCCTTCTGTCCCTGGGCAGATGCTCCATCCAGAGCTGAACCAGCTCGGGCAGGCGTGTGCTGTGAACACTGCTATTGGACTGTGAAAGCTTGCTTTGGAGTCTTGAGGGCCCTGAATCTGAATTGTGGCTTCCTCAGGCCTTAGAACCATTTCAACCGAAACATCAGACATCTCTCAGCCACTTTCTGTCATCGTCCCGTCTGCTTTGCCTCTGCACGCCAGGATTTAGGTAACGGGTTGTGACCAGCAGCTCGGGCCTCCCTGAGATGCCACCCTCCCGTGTGCGCTCTGGCGCACGCACACGCATGTTGCACTGCACTGAAATCAGACCGGGGCCTCGTGGGCACGGGGCTTGCTGGCGTTAACTTCAGCCCTGAGACCCAGGGCCACCACGGAGCTTGCACAGAGTACTGCACAGTGTTTGCTGAATAAGTGAAAGGCTGATGCTTAACAGAGAGACGAGGAAGTGGAGCCTTACTGCTTCCCCCTCCACGTCGGACTGACTCAGGTCTCTGCTAAGCAGACACGGCACCCACCGGCAGGGGTCACCGGGTCCTTCCTCCTGAAAGGACCCGGGAAGGACTGCAGCCACCGTTGTCCGTGACGCAGGACCAGCCTCACACAGGTGGCGGCACGGGAAATGCCGCGTGTGACAACGGCACGCTGTCGGGGGGGGGGGCTGTTTGGGTCGTTCTGACGAGGAAGGTTCAGGGCCACGGTGAGGTCGGCGTCACACTGAGCAACGAGCCCATCAAACGGACTCACTGGACGGCCAGCGCTGCTCTGTGTGTTCGCAGCATCACCGCACTGTCACTGGGGTCCCGGCTCACACTCGTTCTGAAGGCCCCGCTGTGTCTGAGCCGGGTCAGTGCGGGGTGGGGGTGTGCTGCCCTGTGAGGTCACAGCCGCGGCGCTCCCATTGGCGGCCACAGCAGCCTCCCCTGCACTCGCCGAGCCTGGGAATAAAGAGCTATTCAGACGGCAATGCCCTTGAGACCGAGGCTGGATGCAGCCCTGATGCTGGCCATGCGACCTTGGGGCATTTTAACCCTCGGGGACTCACTCACCTCTGAAACGGGGGATGATGTGCTCAGCTCACAGGCCGACGCGAGGAAAAGGTGTGATCAGCATGACGGCTGGGAACCAAGTGCACAGTGAACAGAGCCAATATCACAGTACAACTGTCAAAATTTCTTTTGAGAGCCACCTTTTTTAAACGTCATGCTGATCACACCTTTTTTGGCTACTGAGTTTAAGTTTAAACTTAAACTCATTTGGCTAATGAGTTTGCTGACCACTGACTTAGTGCACTAAGTGAACAGAGAGTATCTTTCACCATATAGAAAATGAACTCGACATGGATGAAAGACTAAAACTATAACTTCTGAAACACAGGAGAAAAACTTCAGGACAATAGATTTGGCAATAATTTTTTTTTAAAAAAAGATGTATTTTTATTGATTTCAGAGAGGAAGGGAAAGAGGAAGGGGGGGGGGTAGCATCAATGAGAGAATCATGGATCGGCTGCCTCTTGCACACTCCCTACTGGGGATCGATCCCACAACCTTGGATGTGCCCTGACTGGAATCCAAACCAGGACCCTTCAATCCACAGGTTGTCACTCTATCCACTGAGCCAAACCAGCGAGGACAATAATTCCTTAAAATAAAACCAAAGTACAGGCAACGAAAGCAGAAATAGACGAGTGGGATTATAGCAAACAAACATTTTTCACATCAAAGGAAGCAATCAGCACAGTGAAAAGACAACCTATGGAATGACAGAATGTATTTGCAAATCTTATTTATGGATTTCAGAGAGGAAGAGAGGGAGCGATAGAAACATCAGTGATGAAATCACTGATTGGCTGCCTCCTACACGCCCCACCCTGGGGATCAAGCCCTCAACTCGGGCGTGTGCCCTGACCGAGGATGGCACTGTGACCTCCTGGTTCACAGGTCGATGCTCGACTACTGGCCGACCCAGCAGTTTAATCAGAGAAACTAATTCAGACAGTTCTGTCACCCTACCTCTTTGGAACTTGGCTTACTGAATCCTTTTTAAATAACTCATTTTACAAAGCTCAACTGAAAGATGTCTCTTACGCAAAACCACGGCACAGGAAAGTCTCTCTGACAGCCTTGGCACAGCAAATCCCCACACGCTGTCTGTCTCTCACAGTGGCACCCCTTCCCGGTTCACAAGCCAGAAGCCAGCTCCTGTGCACACCATCCATCAGGTAGAAAGAGGCCGGAACAAGAAGGGGCCTGTCAGCAGCTGGAGCGAGCGCCACGCCTCGAAGCCCTTGGCTCTGTTGGGGCCCTAGGCTTTGTGCTCACTGCGGGACGAGTCCCGACAGCTGGTCTGCACTGGGTCCTCTGATCCTCGCTATCAAAGGGAAGCGAAGATGAAAAGAGGAGCAGGCTTCTGAAGACTCGCACCAGGCCCTTCTGCCAGGAAGAACGAGCTGGGATCCCTCCCGTTAGCAAAACCTGGAGGAATCCACGTTTTCATTTATTTCACGTCAAATAAACTGTCCATTAAGTGTGATCAGGTGCAATTTCTAATGAAAACGAGTGAATTAGTGAAGCCCAAGATGATTGGTTTTACTGTGTTTAGCACACCTCTTAATTTTAAAATGCTCCTAGCTAAACCTACTCAGGAAAGCCTCAGTTCCAGTGCTGCTGTTTGTTTTCTGAGGGGCATTTTGGAGGGGTGTGGGTTAGGTGATAATTACTTATTCTTTATATTCTTCTCATATTGTTTCTCTTAACTAAAATTTCCAGAAATGATTCGAAAATCATCTTTTGAAGATCTGAATACTCTGCAAACATTTAAAAAATACTGTTTTGAAGATATACTATTTTTCTGAACAAAAGTAGTATCTGGTCTTCTCCAAGAAATGTTCATCTTATTTCATTTTGTATTTCTCTGAAATGTGCTTATACATAAACGGTGTGTGTAGCCGAAACCGGTTTGGCTCAGTGGCTAGAGCTTTGGCTTGTGGACTGAAAGGTTCTGGGTTTGATTCTGGTCAAGGGCACATCCCCAGTAGGGGGTGTGCAAGAGGCAGCTGATCGACAATTCTCTCTCATCGATGTTTCTAACTCTCTCTTCCTCTCTGTAAAAAATCAATAAAATAAAAAACAACAAAAAACGTGGTGTGTATCCGGGGTTTTATTCCTACCCCATTCTAAACCAATTAATGGTTACTGATCTCATTCAGGCGACAAAAACATATGGTACAATCATACACCTTCACTGTCAGTGCCCCCATGGCGGGCTTAGAGTATCATATAAACTGGTTGTGCAAAAATAAAAAATTTAGGGAATAGGGGGTGGTTAATTGGGGATAAGGACACATATGTAGTACCTTAACCAATAAAGAAATTTAAAAGAAGAATCAAATAAAAATAAAACCCCTTCATTAAAAAAAAAAGAAAAAATTGTAGTTCACTTTGATGAGGAAGATGTTGGCAGACGTGGGGCTGTGCTGAGCCGTACCTGTCTGTGAGTGCGAGACAGCAGGGCAGGTGATGTGGTCCAGACCAGACGCCCAGTCCGCACGGGGAAATGCCTGGTTACTGACGACACGGAAGCAAGTGCAAGGCCAGCTCCCCTCCTGTGGGAGGCGTACAGCTTGGCTTCTGGACTTCTAAGCCACAAACCCTTTCAAACGAAGCTGAGAATGGGTTACAGAGATCCACTGGGTTAACAATGGGGAGTACATAAAAGAGCCATTTGTAAGAAAAACTACTTGAAAGTGATGTTTAAAAACAAAGAGCCAATTTCAGACCTACGGTATTAATAATATAGGGGCCTATGTTATTTAGAGGTAGATTTATTTTTCCATCTTGATTTTCTCAGATTAAAATGCTTTTGCATTCCGAGCATATACAGCATTCACATGCTTGCTGAAAGGTATTGATACTTGAAATTTAAACACCAAAAATCCTTTAGCATGCTTTGATTTACACAGGCCTACTTTATATACATTAAAAAACCCCATACAATTTAAGGTCTACAGTAAATGGATTCTAACTTTTATGAGCCGATTCTTAGGAAAAGTTTTAGACGGTTTCAAAACAGGAAAAAGGCGTGGCTGGGTATAGCTCAGCTTTAGATATAAGCTCATTCGGTATTTAAGAACACTTTATTATTAAAATGCAATAAATAACATCTGAAACTTTTTCACAGAAAGGGAACAATCTTCACAGATACAGGCCAGAACTGAGCAGTCTTTTACACAGAAGTACTCCAGGTGCTGCCCGTGGGTGGGAAGTAAAGCGCAGGTGCCACATTTCAAAGTGGGAATGGCAGAACTGAGCCGCAGCAGTTTTTCTGCCTCTGACATCGCCATTTACCGAGACTCCCAATCCTGTCCTCAGCTTCACACTCAGAGCACCCTAAGTCTCCATGCAGACGAGGAAGCTAGTGCATAGGTTTAAGCAGAAACGGGACTAGGCCTGGCCACCCGACGCACCCACTTGTATTTGCAAATAACAGAAATGCCTGCATCTGAAAAGACACGAGTAAAAGTAATACATAACTAGAACTAAAGATGTCATCAGCACCTCGTGCCATTTGAATATTACCCTAATGTTTCAGGGGGCCTCCAGGTCAAAGGCTCTCGGCCCAGAGTTTTGGGGGTTTGTTGACCCCCTTTACAATAATCAAACCCAGCATGCACCCCCCCACCTCCCCAGCTCACTCAGATGGGGTCGGGCAGAGTCCTCGAGGCTCCGGGCCGCGCCTCAGCTACCTCAGCTGCAGCAGCAGGGCCGGTCCTCAGCTCTGCGCGCAGCACCGAGAGCGGGGACAGGCCAGGGCAAAGCTATCCCGTTAACACCCTCCAGCTAGAAACACCTAGCCATCTCTCCAGAAAACTTAAAAAACAAGCCCAGGGTGGGTTTGATGTACAATGGTCTTTATTTACAACTTTATTGGCAAAAAGAAGAGGGAGACGACGAGAACAGTTCACCACGGGGCACTGCAGCTGGCGGGTCAGGTTAAAGAAGTTTCACGTTAAAGGTCCACCTACTTGTCCAAACACACCACGGAGTCTGCGCTGCCGCTGCCGCAGGAGTCGGCACAGCGCAGGCTCCAGGCGGTCTTAACACATAAACACAAGAGGACAGAACCACGAGACGGCATTAAATAAAGGGCCTCCCTGCACCGTGTCCTGCAGTGACACATGCCAAGGACAGCGGACGCGGGAGCAGGACAACGCCCCGAGTGCAGTGACCAGGACGGCCTCTGTCCCGAGGACCGCCCTCGCTACCTGCACTCCTGGGGCTGAGCCGCGGAGGGAAGACGAGGGAGGAGTCTCCTGGAGGCCGCGAGCCCTGGAGAGCAGGCGGGGCGGACACCCAGACTCCCGGTGGAAGGAATGGATGTGGTCCGTTTGAACTCATGCTGGGCGGGCGGAGTCCGCGGGCGGCGGTCACTCCTCCAGGTCCAGCGTGCTCAGCTCCTCCTCCAGCTCGTCCAGGTCCTCCCCGGTGAAGAGGTTCTCGTCCACGGGCACCGCCACGCAGACGCCGTTCTCCTGGCCCTCCCCGCCGAGGTCCTCCTCCGCGTCGCTCCTCTCGCCGTTCTCAGCCTGGCCGCCAGAGGCTTCGCTCAGTTTGTTTTCTAAAAACAGCAATGGCAATGCGTGAAAACCCCGCCCTGTTAGTGCCTGACAGTCAGAGGGACTGCACTGCCCCCGCCATCCTGCGGCCATGCCAGCAGGAACCACAGCAGGAGCCGCAAGCCGAGCTGCGCTGGGCGTGCTGCACCGGCCCCTCTGCCTGCTCGGAGGCAAGGTTATCCCCCACAACTCTGCTCCTCCACGGCCCAGCAGCTAGGTTTCACAGGCCACACCCACATAACACGTCTTTGTAACAACATATATCTGACGTACGTGGCCACTTGGCTTTGCTTTGCGCAGCAAACCACCGATGGCAACGCTGGAAACCCCACCCGTCCTCACCTGCGAACCAAGAACGTGGCCCAGCCTTGCTCAGCAACACCCACACCCACACCAACACCAACACCCACACCGACCCCGACCTGACACCGCGCAATGGCCCGGCTTGGACCCACAGGCTGCAGGAACCCCACAACCACGCCTTGGGGTCATGACCTTCGAAGCCCTTGCCACGGACCGGCCTCCAGGCACCTGCTGGCAGCAGGCTCAGGTCCCGGGAGGACAGCCAGCTCCCCACGTCACACTGGCCTTCCTTACGGCGTCAGCCTTCTCTCGCCTTCCGCCTTGGTAAGCATCCCGCTCCTTTTCCACTCACAGCACCCGGCCAGCCCTTCCCCTCTCCAGGCCCCCCAGGGCTCCTTCGGGTGAGGAGAGGACGGCTGACGGCCCCCGACACCGACCCGCCTCCTCGTCCTCTGCGCTGAACGCCTTTTGTTTGTGCTTCTAGCTTTTGTCCCGTCTCCTCCTCCTCTCCCGGCCCTCTCCGTGCATGGCCTGCAGATGCCCTGGCTTCCTCGCACCCAAGAGCCCAGCCCGACCATGCCCGTCCTTCCCCTCACCACTGCAGGGACCTCTTCCTACAGCCCCTCCCGAACGGCAACTGAGGAGCCATTCCCCAGCAGCCCCCCGACTCCCTGAAACTCCCTAACCCCATGCTGTGCTCCAGAGGTCCTCGTCCTGCTGCCGCACCTGGCACTTCCCTCACTCAGCTCAACGCCTTTCTAACCACTTCCTCCCCGTGTCTACACAGCGTCAGCAATGCTGCTCTCCCCTCTAGCTCCAGACACTTCGCTTAGGACACTAGAGGCAGACGAGAGCCAGCGGGGCTGTGGGGACAAGTCACAGAAGAAAAGGGGCCTTGGAGCTGGGAGGGGGGAGAGGGAAGGAGCAGGGTGGAAAGGCGCGCTGTGTTCCCAAGAGGGAGAGCCCCCAATGCTACCTACATTTTTCCTTTCCTTTTAAACAAATCCTCGCTCCAGGCCGTGTTCACTGGTTTCAGAGAGGAGGGGAGACTGACGGGCTGCCTCCCCTACGTGCTGTGACGGGGAATTGGAGCCCCAGCCTTTGTGTGTGCAGACGAGGCTCTAACCTAGGAAGGCACCCAGCCAGGGCCAAGGGCCGCTGCTGACACCAAAACCTCCGCCTCTGGAGGTCCGTCCCACACGAGGCCAAACTCATTCCTGTGTCTTCTGCTTCGGTTCACGCACACTTCTGCAGCCTCCTCTCCCCCAGGGCTGCTACCATCGGCCCAACCACACGCTCACACTACCAGTCGGTGCCTGTGGGCACCTAGGGCGGTCAGGCCCGGTCTAGCCCCTTCGGGCAGCTTCCTGGTTCAGTCACCGCGTTGGCACACTCACCATCCTTGTCGGACGAGTACGTGCTGAATCGCTCCAAACTGGCCACGGTGATGCCCGTCTCCTCCACATCTCTCGGGATGTACAGGCTTAGATCTATGTCATTGACGCTCACGGAGTCATCCACCTTTACAAGGACAGGACAGACAGGGAGTGTAAGAACGCTTTCCATCACTTACTGTCTTTACCTTAACGAAACAGTCATTACTGGGTCAAATGAAAACAAATGATTTACTGTCAAACTTTACTTTTAAAACTTCTTAAAAAAACAGCAATGCCATATTTAAAGCTACTTCCTCTGACATCATACTCTTACACACAGAAAACGATATTTTTATCTTTCAACTGCAAGCCAGAATTTTATAAACATACAAAATAGTCAGCTCTCTGCTATTACTAAGCTTGCCTACAATCAAATGAGTGTGCTATTGCCTCCTGCTTCCCACTCTGCACTGGTTTTTAATTTATACTTTTTCTTTTATGCATTTCTCCCCCTTTTCAGAGAGGAAGGAGGAAACACCAGTTCTTGTCTACACACACCATGACCAGGAATTGAACCTGCAACCTTTTGGTGTCCAGGATGACGCTCCAACCAACTGAGACACCAGCCTGGACTACATTTTTCAGTTAGTATTTCTGTCTCATGATTTCCTTTTAATAAAAATATTAAACAAAGTCCCCTTTTCTTTAGAGGAGAGTACAACACATACTTCTCCCAGCTAACATCCAAGCACTGGACTATACAGCAGGCACCTCCCTCGTCCTGGGAAGGAAATATACTTCCTGGCTCCTGGGATTCTCACGAGCATCTTGGAGAGTGCGCCTGCCCCACAGAGATGGGGGGGAGACGGAGGACGCGATTCCCAGGCGAGTCAGGAGCGGAGCGGAGCCCGGAGGGGGCACTCCTATCCCCGGCTCCACTGTCACTCCATCCTCGCAGTCCGCGAGAGGGTGCCCGCGGCCTCTTACCTCATCCCCGCCTGCTGCCTGCGTGTAGCGGGTATCGTCTGCTTCCTCGTCGTCATCGTCAACCAGCTCAGGCCGGAATTCAAACACCTCGCGACCACTGATCTGCTCGGACACAAAGACAGGGACTCAGGCCGCTGCAAACACTCTGGTGCCGGCTCTAGCCCCGCAGGGACGGCTCTCGCCTGGCACTGGGGTAAACGACAGGAGGAGGAGTCGCCTGGGCCCTGAGAACATACCACCAAGGCCTTCCCCGCCTTGAAGTCGGCTTTCCTTCGCTCCATGTCCTGCTCCAGCTTGTCAATCTTCTCTTGTCTCTTCCTCTTCTTCCAGGCGAGGAAAGACTCTAGCGTGATCTTGGTGACGTTTGGACCCAGGGCGGCGCGCTGTGGAGAGAGGAGTCACTGCCCCTCCGCCCGCCCGCCCGCCCACACCGCCCGATGCTTCTCTCTGGCGAGGAAGCCTCTGCCCGGCGGCTCCGGAGACGGTCCATGTGAAACGGTTACTTTCACTCCGCACTGAACGAGGGTCTTGGTGAAACGAAGGCGAGTGAACTTGCCATGAGGAGCTTAAGGAAGTCAATGCTGAAAGCAATAACGGTGGAGAGCACCGCGGCAGGGCCAGCATGCCTGGTCCTTCGTGCTCCTCAGGAGGCGGCGAGCCAGCAAAGATGCCGCCTGCTCCTCAGGCCACCAACTAGCAACTCCCCGGAACATACCCCTCTGGACGCCGCCAGACAGTCCCCACCACGCCGACGGGCCTCTCCCGAAGGCTGCACCCCAACGTGGGGGAACCAAGACACACACTCCTGCACCCCGACTCCGGTCTGCGCTTCCTGTCACCGCGTCACCTCCAGCGGAGACACCAGCAGCATGTCCACTTAGGAACAGGTGTGTGTCCCCCAATACTAGAAGTCACACAGTGTAGGCTACCCAGAGGCGGTAAGAGACACAGTGTACGATGTCATCTCCACAGGTCTGTCACACGCAGAGCTGTATGGGTAACCCAGACTGACTGCTGTGGAGCCAGAGCGGCCGCTGGCGTGTCCTCAATCAGCCCTCTTCCCCTGGAGCCTCCTCCCACACAGCGGGAACGGTTAGCAAAATGGTGAGAAGAAAGTCATCGGGGAACATCAAACACCTCAAGTTCAACCGTCTGAATCCCCCATTCTGTCTCTTCATTAAGAAAAACACACACACACACACTCACACTCATGACTGCCGGTATTACAGAGGCGCCCCTCCGCCCGCCCAGGCCTTACCACACTCCTGGGCGTCCACAGCCGTGCAGGTAAATGTGTCAGTTCTCTGGCTAACCTTTTCCCACCTCTCCACTTCCCTCTCAGGTTCATCAATGTGAACACTGACTAAGCGTTGTAATGAACTGATAAAACTAGTGTATCAATCTTATGGAAACAACTTATCTGGCAATTCAGTGGCTAGTACATAAAAATCATTTCATAATCATAAATTCATGTCTTAATTGGCTTAGGATTATGGCTAGATCTACATATAAAGAAACTTAAAAAGGCAACTTCAGGGGAAGATCCTATTTTTCCCTTTCATAACAACATGCTGTTGCCCCCAAGTGGTAAGTATTAAAATTTCATAATAAATACTGCCTTTTCTTTTTATGGTGGAAAAGATACTAGTTACCTCTCTTTCAATGAGATCTTCTAATGAAATTTCATCTTCTTTCTCTTCTTTCTTTTTATCTTTTTTCAACACGAATCCAGGAGGAAGTGCATGGCGATACATACAATTATCGCCCCCTCCGGGGCACACCCAGAACCAGCCATATTTGTTGTTTTCGATAGCGTCAAGGAAATGCTTGCACACCTAAGAGACAACAGTATTCACAAGCAGCAGCTCAGTACAGTCCATTTCCAAGGTCAATGCTGAAGCACACAGAACAAGTACATTCTTACAGCCTTAGGCTGCCACTCTGCAGAGCACCCTGTGTGCAGAAATGCACATATGAGTTAACCTTAAAATACTTAACAGTGACTGCTCTTCAAAGAGGACCCAGATAAAACTCTCTCTTTGACAGTGTTGTAAATTCTGTATTATACAAAAGGACTTGCTCCATTTAGCCTTTGTAAATGTAATCTGAAGTCTGATTTTTAAATCAGAGAAAATATAACTGCTATAAGAAATAAAACCAATGATTTTGCTTTGGTTTGACCTAAAAACCAATCCCATGCAGCAATGACATAAGCACGATTTGAATTAAGTGAAATTATAGGGACTTTCTTAGATCTTAGGAGGGAGCAAGGTACAAAAGGAACACACAGCACAGTGACCCTTAAAACACAAATGGGCCCTGGCCAGTGTGGCTCATTGGGCTGGAGCATTGTCCCATGTGCCAAATGGTTGCAGGTTTGATTCCTAGTCAGGGCAAGTGGGGAAGGCAACTGATTGATGTTTCTCTCTCAAATGAATTAAAAAGGGAACATAAATGGGTGCAAGATGCAACTGTACGGAAGCCTCAGGTCATAAACTTTACAAATAAGGAGGAAAAATTCACAGATATGTATTTCTCTCCTGAACAAATACAACAGGTCCAAGTAAAATTGTTACAGAATTCCCGGGCAGGACGACCAGGGCAGCGTTTTTCAACCGCTGTTCCGCGGCACACTAGTGTGCCGCGAGATGTTGCCTGGTGTGCCGTAGGTGCAGACAAGACAAGAATTTTATAATTTTTCACTACTTTGTTTACTTAATATTTCATAATAAAGTAATTATAAAATACTTTATTTGTGTTTATTTGATTCCTATTCAAGAGAATTACTTTATATATAGTCAATATAGGCACAGAGTTAAATTTTTTAACATTTTCTAATGGTGGTGTGCCTCGTGATTTTTCTCATGAAACAAGTGTGCCTTTGCCCAAAAAAGGTTGAAAAACACTGGACTAGGGAAACTGAGACAGGAAAGTTAAAACAAGGCCAAAGAGTGCGGGCAATCCACCCCCACGCCCCCTCCCAGGACACTTGAGAGCCAATGGCTACAACCTAAGGAGGGAGGCAGAGGAAGGAAAAAGGGCCGTTTCACTCCCAAAGCAGGAACGAGCCCACAGCCCTGGCCGGCAAGGTCAAGGGCAGGTGCTGCTGGAGAGCCGGGAAGGCGGTCACAGGGGCCGGACACTCCTCTGCACCAGTCAGCAGCGGGGCTCTGACCAGAGGGCGCCCCCTCGGGCCCCTCGAGCTCTCAGGCGAGTGGAGCGCCGCCCAGCTTGCTGGCTGTGCTTTTCAGTAAAGGGCATGCTCTAAGCGCCCGAACACACTGCTTTTCCCCGCTGGCAAGGCCCCTCCTATAAACTCAGTTACGTGAGAAGACCAGGACCGAGGCTGGGACTTCTGAACAAGAATTGAACTCTGTAGCCTACACGTGTCCATTCCCCAAACAAAGCTCCCCCCCCCCCCCCCCCTTTAACACAGCCCCAAACAGCGCAAACGCCTGCCACAAGACTGTCCCTAAAGGTAAGTCCGCTCAATTCAAGAAAAGAACATACTATTTGCGTTTTGGGCTTTTTCTTTTCCGCCTCACCGTGCTTCTTGTTCACCACTTCTTCCAGCTTTTTCTCATCCCAGTTCTCCATGGTATCTAAGGGAAGGAGAGGGAGACTAGCACTGTGTCTGTATCTGCTGCTCCCACACACACTGCCGTCTCCGTGCACAGGAGGCTGTCTGACAGCACCTTCAGACACCAAAGGTAAGCATCAATGGGTGAGACTGTTCACCCAAACCTTAAGCAGGCAGGCCAATGAGAAGGCAGTACTGTAAGAAAAGCCGAGACACATCCAAAAGAAGTAACTGGTTTTTAATCATCTTCATTTGCTTAATCCAAGGGCATCATGCAATAAATTCCGATTTTATGAAAACAAACAAAACACAAGTTATTCTTTACAGTCTACTAATACCAAAATACTCAAGTTACTAAATATTCTTAGTGATTACAAACCCAGAGACACTGATGTTTAGGAAAACGTTTTTAAAAGTACCTTTCTCAAGCTCTTCATCTCTGGCATCGATGTACACACTGCGCTTCTCGCCCTTCCTCTCCAGGGTGAGGTCGTGGGAGAACTTGCACTTGTCCCCCTTGGTGCACTGCCCTTGCTTGAAGAAGGCGCACACCACAGACTTGGGGTCGGCACCTGTGCAAACGGTACACGGAGGCGTAATTCGCTCTGCAGGTCCTAAGGCACAGCTTCTAGGTGAGATAAACTGCTCTGTTAACTTGTCATTTCCTACTCACCGGGGTGAGAGGAAAACACCACTTATGGGGGGTTCCTACGACATTTTTCTCAAGTTCTTCTATTGAATTTTATATACACTTTTGTTTCTTTTATTACAAAAAACAAAAACAAAACCAACCAAACAAAAACAACAAAGGGGCACAGGATGGGGAACCATACACACATAAGTTACTCCATATCACGTGTCCAGCTGCAGTTAATGAGGCAGGAGCCAAAGAGAATCTAAGAGGAGGTATACTGCCAAGAGTGTGGGCTCTGTTTAGAGAACCCTAGGTTTGCCTCGGATACTATCGAAGACTGGAGGCTACAAGGCAACTAAACCATTAATTTTGCCTTAAGTTGGGGGGCTAATGGCCGGAGTAAATATTGTACAATGACACAGCTGTGCACATACGTAAAGGAATTGTGAGAAAGTCATGTTAGATAATGACAGAGTATCATTTTCATAGCAGATACAATCAGCTTATGATCTGAACATAAATCAAAACAAATTAAGAGTTTCAAACATGAACCACATTTGATAAAAACAATACTTCTGAAATGTAAAGTTTACCTTTACTTATTTTTTGAGCAGCAACTACAGGTTTGAACAGCTCATTTAGCTCTTGCAATTCTTTCTTCTTGTCATCTTTCTTTAATTTCTTTTCAGCTTCACTCTGTGCTACCTATAATATTCCCAGGTATAACATAAACATTTGATTTCATATAGTTGTTTTCACTGCCCAGTGACTGTAACACTAACATTAACATCAGTTTTACAATGCCTCTCAGTGTATGTTAAACGGTGTGGTTAAACTAGGAAACAAAACTGCTAAATCTTGTGACAGTTACTTTAAAAAATCTTTAGTTCCTATAACTCATGCACTGCCAGTGGAAAGCTGAAGTGCTGCCATCTCTGTGGAAAGGACCAAGCACATTTATTAAAGCTGGAATCCATTTCCCTTCATCTAGAAATATGCCTCCAAACACACCACGCCACAGAGAGAAGCACATGTGCCTGTGAGAACACACACACAGGACACTCCCTGCAGAACTGCTTAGTCAGAAAGGGCCTCTCCGTGGACACCGAGTGGTCACTGTGAGCAGTGAAGGACGAGCATGCATAGCCAGTGTGGCTCAGACGAAGTGAGAGCCGTCACAGAATGGCTCGAGGGGGACTGAGAGACTGCTGAGCAACCTGCACCGATGCAGGTCTGTCCAGGAGGACTGTGGTCGCAAACATACCACCAAACACCTTCAGCTGTGAGGGAAGAAAACCAGATGTTTACATTCTGTACCTGGCGTGGATTCTGCTGACCGAACTTAACCTGATGAGTGACAGCCTTGATAAACTTCTGCTGCTTTGCTCCCTTCTTGTTCTTTAGACCAAAAGTCTTGTCCTAAATGAAAAGAGGATGTAAAATACCTTAGCCATTTATAGTAATTTCTTACCTACTTTTCCAGTCACATCGGAAACCATTCTTTCCTGTGGGCAGGAAACATAGTCTCTCTTATGCTCTTCACAGAGAAAACACTAAACATCAAGGCAAGACACCATGCGACTCAGAGGCCACCTGGACTCCTCCACCAGTAGGGGTGCAGCCACCCCCTGCCACCTGCGCCCATGGCGCGCTTTCCTCGCTACAGCGAACGCAGAGCTGCTACTGGAGTGAGGAGCCCTCAGTACGTCCAGGAAACGCTTGGCTAATAGGGCTGCTCATTCTCAGCACAGACAGCGAGAGCCTTCCGAGGGGAGAAGCAGGCAGCAATTTCAAACCTGCTCTGCCTCTGGTGCATTTTCCTCACAGGACTGAAGAACTATGGACTGTTCTGAACACATTTTTTGGAAATACTTCATAAGAAGATACATTAAGTTCTAGACTGTTTTTCTTTTTGGTGGTTGTCCTCTCAAAACAATTACATTTAAAGAACTCAAACCACTGAGAAGTATTCATACCTAGTTGTTGCTAAAATGGAAATAGTAAAATTGAGCATTCCTAACTAAAAAGCAACATGTTCCTTACATCTGGAACATTAACATAGTCACTTGGGAAAACTATTAAAAGGAATAGTGGTATCTACTATGGAACGCTCACTATGTGCAAGGCTCTAATCAAACTTTGGTTTTACCTGTTCATATGTAATAAGTATGTAGCACAGAAACATGCAGAAGCCACTGCACGTGTGTACCAGCCTGTGCTTCAGGACTACAAGGGGCTGAACAGCACCCCCCCCCCCCCCCCCACCACACACACACAAATTCACTTCTACTTGGAATCTCAGAGTGCAGTCTCTGCAGGTGTATAAGCTAAGACAGGGCACAATGACTAGGGTGGCCCCAAGCGCAATGACTGAACCATTTTTCTTCCAACCTTCACAACGTTCTGCATTTCCTTAGCCTGTCCATCAGGTGTGAGTGCCACGCTTCCCGTCTACAACAGCGAGCCCTCTCTCGCTGGGGGACCAGGGAGGAGATCCTGGAGAGAGAATCACCAGGACCAAAGTACGACGGCATCTGCACACACGGCGCCCGCGGGGAGCAGCAAACCAGGCTGCAGAGCAGAGCCAGGGAGGCTGACACAGGAGACGGGAGTCCAGTGGTCCTTGCAGGGACTGGCCGAGGGAAAGCAGCACCCAGGACAGCAGCCCACAGCAGGAAGTGCTTTCTGTGGCCCCGTGTGGGCACATGACTATCCCGTCTAGAGATAAGTCTTGTTCTTGGAACTCTCTAGGGCAGAAATTCTTTCTTTCAGAGAGAGAGGGGGCACTTATTTACCTAGCAGTCATAAAAATAAACTCCTGGACACATGCTTCACTGAATCCTCTTAGCAACCTTATACTATCACTAGTGGCCCGGTGTACGAAATTCATGCACTCAGGGTCCCCAGTCCTGTGACCCATCACCCCAAAGAGGTGGGTCTCCAAGAGCCTCACGCCCCCAGGTGGTGCTGGGGGCAGGGACGTGAGCCTCACACAAGTCCCTGATGCTGCCAGTCCTGCCCACCTGCGCCTGCTGCACACGCAGCTCCTGCTGATGGGTCCTTACCTACCATTTGAAGTGAAGGCCTCAGACCATTTGCATATCAGCTCTTTATTATATAGATCACACTCTGTAATCGTAGCTACTGAAACTTAAAAATGTCCAATTCTTTTGAAGTAACCTCCTACAGAATCCTATATAATAAAACCCTAATATGCACACAGACCAACCAGCAGAATGACTGGTTGCTATGACACACACTGACCACCAGGGGCAGACGCTCAATGTAGGAACTGCCCCTGGTGGCAGTGCACTCCCACAGGGGAGCATTGCTCAGCCAGCAGCTGGGCTCATGGCTGGTGGAGTGCAGCAGCGGTGGGAGCCTCTCTGCTTCCGCTACAGGCCGGGGGTAAGAAGCGAGGGGCCCTGGGCTGAGAGAGCACGGACTGCGAGAGCGATGGGGTGGGCCTAAGCCAGCAGGTGGACATCTCCGAGAGGTCCTGCACTGTGGGAGGGCACAGGTCAGGCCGAGGGACTCCCTCTCCAGTACACGATTTTCATGCGTTGGACCTCGTCTATAATAAAAGCGTGTAATATGCTAATTAGATTGGATGAAGCCGGGCTGTGAGGGAAGCGCCGGGGGAAGCCGGTGCCTGCAGCTGCTCTTGCACACAATCTGTGCCCCGGGCCTCTGGCTGTTAATAAGGGCAGGCTGTCCAGCGTGACGCTGTAAGTAAGAGCGGGAACGTCGGCCCTGGGCTGGAGAAGGCCCCTGAAATCACTGGGTCTGGCCCTGCCAAGGCATCAGGGTGAGTTAATGCAACGTCTGACCAAACATTTTTAAGTTAATAATTCTCTATGGTGCAAGGATGTTATCAATATCCAAATGGCCTTATTCCACCCCTGCTTTAAGAGCAGAAGCTACGAAGTCAGACGGCTCACATTCTCTTCCCAAACAGAACTAAGCAAATGGCCTTCTTTGCCAGTTTTCTTATTGTAAAGTGGGTCTCACACTCGCCTGGGATGGCCGGGTGACAAGGTTTACCACCAGAGGAAACACAGCACAGAGGCGAACCGCTCGGACTCCGGAGCAGCCGTGCTGGCTCTGAATCCTCGCCTGCCGCTGGCCATCTCACCTCGGCAGCTGCTCATCCTGTGCCTGCGTCCTCAGGTGATAATGCTAACCCCGAGAAAGAAATGTGCTGTGTAAGACACCTGGCTTCTCTTCCCTCCATTCCCCAAATACCGAGAACAGGGCCAGGCACCAGGTGTTAACTCTTAAGCGACAGGTGATGCAACGAGGGTGTATTTGGCTCCACGCCACCTCCTTGTTGTTTCCACGTTGAAAATCCACGTCCAGAAACTCCTGGTTAGGTCACCCGCCAGCTGGTAGACAACTTTCTGATACCACAGGGTGGCTCTGGATACCGGCACCTCCTCTGGAAAAGAGCTCTCTCCCTTTTCCTGGTTTAGGACAGACCTTACCTAAACATTACCTGGATTTGGGAGAAGGGGAACGTGAGGGGGGAAGAGGTGCAATCAACCCCCAATCACGGTTAAGAAAAAAACAGGGAGGTAAGATCCCAAAAGTTAGGTTAGGAAAGAAACTGTATGTGTTTGACTCGGTCGTTTGAACACAAGGAGTTTAGAAACAGGGAGTCACTCTAAGAGAAGGGGGGCCTGAGAGCCCAGCACCCAGAAGTGAATTCGTGTTTTTTTTTTAAACCAAGCCCCCTTCCCTCCCGGTGATCCTGCTTCTGGCTCAGGCCGCTTCCCCTCTGACAAGGGAGCTCTGCTTGGCATCACGGCCGACCAGGCCATGCAAACTCCGCCAAGGACTCCTGAATGCCGGGGTACTCAGCCCTGTGACCCTCAGAGCAGCTCCCCGGGGCGCCCCAGTGCCCGGCCGGGCTGAGTCCTCCGGGAACAAGCAGGCAGGGAGCACACAGGTGCCCGCCGCGTGGCTCAGACCCCGGAGGTCACGGGCTGATGCCCAGCCGGGCACCTGCTGGGCTGTGGGCTCCAGCCCCAGTGTGGGGCCTGCAGGAGGCAGCCCGTCAGTGATTCTCTCATCATTTGTGTTTCTATCCCTCTCCCTTCCTCTCTCTGCGCGCACACACATACACCAACACATACTCAAAATAAAAAATAAAAAATACAGATGCCGCAGCAGATTTGGGACGTGGCCATCATAAACATGCTAATTAAATCACATCGGCAGAACTTATTAAAAACAAAAAAATCACTTACAAACGCCTCATTTCAGGCTCCGGAAAAGCATTCTGGTCACGTTCCGACAAGAAGGGACTACAGTTACCCTGCAAAAGGCTCTCCGCCACTCGGATATGTTTTAAGCAAAAGAAGAAGAAAAGGCCCCGGCTTTCCCCAGTGACACCCAAACCACGGAGAGACTTGTTTTAACGGTGAGGAGGAGCCCCGGCAGAGACATCCTTTGGGGTGCGGACTCTTTCCAGGAATCTCTCCGCGAGACAAACGCCACCCACTGCAGGGCGTCCCCCGGGTCCCTGGGCCCCAGGGCGGCGGGGCCAGGCCCTGACCCGCACAGGCCGCGCGCACGGGCGCTGCGGACCCGGACCCCCGCGGTCCCAGCGTCGCGGCTCCCCTGACTCCAAACGCACGCGGCCCCCGGCGCCCCGGGAGGCCCGCCCCGCACGGGCCCGAAGCCGTTCGGCGGGAACGGGAACCGCCTCGCAGCAGGCCCCGTGGGCCCGGGAGAGGCCCCGGTTCTGGGCCACGGGAAGGGCGCGGGGCGCGGGCAGGGCCGGCCTCCCTCCGCGTCGGGCCGGGCAGGGCCGGCGTGTCTCCTGCACACCAGCCCGAAGCCCGTTCCCCCCGGAGGGCGGCGGGAGGCGCCGCTCGCCCGAGGTGGGCCGAGGCGGAGGCGGAGGCCGGGGCGGGGGCGCCCGTCTCCACGGCGAGGCCTCGGGGGCAGGACCGGGGCGGCGGGCCGAGCGGGGCGGGGGACGCGCGGCCCGGCCGCGCCCGGCGCCGGGACCGGAGGCGGCCCCCCTGGGCCGGCGCGGGTGGGGGAGGGGCGCACACACCTCGATGATCTTCTCCTTCTTCTTCTGCTCCGCTTTCTTGCTGCCCCCGGCCTGCGCCTGCTTCTTGGGGGGCATGGCGGAGGCGGTGGCACCGGCCGGGCTGGGGCGCAGCTGGACACCGTGCGGGGACCCGGCCCCGCGCGCCGCAGGAGGGGGAGACGCGGGCCGCCGTCGCCGCCGCCGCCGCCGCGCCGCACGTAAAGCGAGGCGCTCGCTCGCCGCCGTGACGCGGCCTTTGCGACAGGTCGGCGCCGCAGAGCATTGTGGGAGGGAGTGAGGGAGGGCCGGCGCCCGGAAGCGGACGTGCGCATGCGCCTTGGCCGCGGCGGGCCCGGCGTGCGTCGGGATTGGACGAGGGAGAAGGACGACGCGCCCCACTTCCGGGACGGCGGCGCGCCTGGGGCGGAAGCTCGGTGAGCGAGTCCTCCCCCGTGCGCGTTCCCTTCCGCTGGGGACGGGTCACCCCTCGGTCCGTCTTCGCCTCGGTCAGCGGCGGAGGGGTTGGTCGCCTGGGCCGCCCCCGTCCTGAGTGGCCCCCGGGCCGCCTCCGCACCCCGCGGGGTCATCCCCGCACCTCCCCTTGGGGCCACCCCCTCGGGCTTCCTCCGCACCCGGGGCTGCGGGGATGGCCGGTGCCCAGGTACCTGCTGGTGCCCGGGTGGGCGGGGCCGGCCGGCGGGCCAGGTCCTGCGGAAGGTTTTGAAGAAAAATAAAATGTTCATTTTATCTTTATTGTTGAGAGTATTACAGATGCCCCCCCCCTTTTTTTCTTATCCCATTGACCCCCTCTCCACCCTCACCCCAGGCCTTCACCTCACTGTGGTCTGTGCCCATGGGTTATGCTTACAGACCTGTCAGTTCTTTGGTTAATTCCCCCTCCCCCGGTCTTTAACTTTTGCCAATATAATTATAATAATTGTAATGTGTCTTGGTGTGCTTCTCTATGGAATGGTCTTATTTGGATGTTTTTTTCTTCTCCAATATCGGGCGTTTTCACGAATTTCATTTATTGAGGTTTACCCCTTTCTCTCCTGTGGGGACCTGTATTATGCGTATGTGGTACTAAGTCTCTTAAGCCACCTTTACTATTTTCCATTCTTTGCTTTTTGCCTTTTTGATGGGATGAATTCCACTGCCGAGAAGGATACTAGTGTATTCCGGCAAAAGAACAAGCTAAAACTCCAGTAACAGATGAATGAAATGGAGACAGGTGATTAATACAGAATCACTGAGGTCAGGAGAACAACGCATGAACAAAGTGAGAATTTTAATAAAGAGATAAAAACATACAAGAAAATACCAAGCAAATCACAAGAGTTGAAGAATGCAAAAAGGGAGCTAAACAGCTCCGCAGAAGGTGTCCACATCACGTGAGGAGATAAACAAAAAGCTCGCTTTTATGTGGAGCGTGCTGGGGGTGGTCGCTCAGAGGTGGTGGCATTTGAGTTCCTTTGACAAATTCTCAGATTACTTTTAGGTTTTTGGAAAGCGCCTGCAGCTTCCCAGCATCCCCCGTGTTACCTGAAAGTCAGCCAGCCTGGTCTGAGGGTGAAGAGCACATCTTGCAGTCTTCGCCCAGTGCGTGCTGAGTCCAGCACCGACCTGCCCACAGCACTGTGCACTTAGCTCCACAGCGACGGAGGCAGGCGCCCTCGCTCTCTGCATCTGATGAGAGGAAACCCAGAAGGAAGAACTGCACCCCAAGTTACGTTAGACCCGTGGTCGGCAAACTGCGGCTCTCAAGCCACCTGGGCCCCTTGAGTGTGGCTCTTCCACAAAATACCACGGCCTGGGCGAGTCTATTTGGAAGAAGTGGCGTTAGAAGGAGTTTAAGTTTAAAAAATGTGGCTCTCCAAAGGAATTTCAATCATTGTACTGTTGATATTTGTCTCTGTGGACTAATGAGTTTGCAGACCACTGTGTTAGCCACTGAACTCGGGCGGTCTGACTTCAGAGGCCCATCACTAACGTCACAGAAGCAGGTCCTGTTAGGAAATAGATACTCGATGAGTGAGGGGCCCCTTTGTATTCACACACACCGAAATGCCATCTTTTAAAACGTGCACTGCTTGGCTGTTGTTTTTGATTATTTTAAACTTTCTGTTAGGAAGCATGGTGGAGTCAAGACTCGCCTTTCTAGAAAGTTTTTAATCTTTTTCATCTATTTGCATATGGAGCATGAGTACAATTGATTGTATGCTTAGTTATGTACATAAGATAATGCCAAAGAATCCTAAGTGTGTGTGTGTGTCGCTATCTCTATATCTGTGTCTACATAAGAACTTTACTTTGCCCTGGCTGGTTTGGCTCAGTGGACAGAGCATCGACTTGCAGACTGAAGGGTCCCAGGTTCAATTCCAGTCAAGGGCACATGCCTGGGTTGTGGACTCGATCCCCATGGTAGGGTGTGCATGCAGGAGACAGCCACGCAGTGATTCTCTCTCGTTCTCTCACATAGTTGGTGTTTCTCCCTTTCCTTTCCTCTCTGAAGTTAAAAAAATACAAAAACTTCATCCAGGCTAGGTTGATGGGCATCCTTTTCTTTTTTTACTTATTTACTTTTTTAATCTTTCGTTATTGTTGTAGTTGTTCTTCCCTGAGGTCAGAGAGACCCAGCCTGCTTCCCTCTATTCAGTACTATAATCCAGTGGATTCTTTGGGGATCCTCTCCTTTAAGACTTCCTGTAAGGGCGGGATGTGTTTGCTTTAACTTCCTCTTTTTAGTGCTGCCAAAGATATACTTTGCTCCTCCCCCTTTTTTATAAGTTTTATTGGTAGTCATTATCATGAAACTGGTGAGTCACAGGAACAACTAAAGGGAGATTACAGAGAATCTGGAATCTCCTAATAGTTGCCTGTTTCATAGTTCTTAACTCCCTTCTACCTCCGACCTTTGCTTCTGCTTCTGGCCTGACATTGCTTGGGTGCTCTCTCTCTCTCCAAACAGGAATTTGTACATTTACAGCGATTTTATAGAGGACACCGGTGGGCCTTCACAGCTGGCCCTTATCAGCCCTTTTCCCCCACTGCAGGCGGCTCTCAGCAGTATCTACACTGCCCTGGCTGGTGTGGCTCAGTGGATAGAGTGTCAGAATCCTGGGTTCGATTCCAGCCAGGGGCACATGCCTGGGTTGTGGGCTCCATCCCGGGGGGGTGGGGGGGGGGGGGGAAGCATGTGGGAGGCGGCTGACCAATGAGTCCCTCTCATCAATGATGTTTCTATCTCTCTCCCTTTCCCTTCCTCTCTGAAATCAATAAAAATATAAAAAAAAATGTATCTACACTACTATAAAAGAAATAGGCAAATTGACTGTACCTCCGAGACACCCACAGCCAATCAGTAGTGAGTACACAAATTAACCCAACAACCAAGGTGGGTTAATTTGCACATGTGGAGCAGGGGGGGGCGGAATGCCTGCTATGAGGGGGAGAGCAGGGTGTGGAGGGAGCTACAGGAGTGGCGCTCTGGTTGGAATGGATAAGACTGAAGGCCTGGCAGAGCTAAGACTTGGTCCCAGGTGCCTGCAGAAAACGGGTGCTGGCAGCCAGTGGAAGGAAGGCCTTTTGCATGAATCTTTGTGCAACGGCCTCTGGTTAAAACAGGACTTTATTTACATACTCTAGGAAGACAGAGTTGGCTGTACATGCTGAGAATCTGTAGAATACATAACCTTTATTGCTTAATTGAAATGTTAAACTATGGCTACACCATTGCCACCTGAGCCTAAGGCCTTGAACCTCAAAGGGATGAAACGACCAGTAATGGTTCAGTTTTCAGGTCATTAGAAGAATGTGTGCGTTACCCATCCAGTGCTGGTAGGCCTTTGCTTTAATCGCAGTGTTTCCTGTTACCCCTCGCTGCTTTTGTTCTCTTAGCCTGATGTCCCAGGCTTCCCAAGATCCTGGATTTCCTAAGATTTCCAGGATTCCTTAGATTCTGTGATCAGTATTTCCAATAAATTCTTGTTTTACTTAAGTTAGGCTTGCTGTTAGTTGTTTGCAACTATTGACTGTTATGGGATGAATTATGTACCTTCTTTCCCTCCCTCCCCATAATTCCTGTGTCGAAGCACTGATTCCAGTACCTCAGTATATGACTGACTTAGGGTCAGGGCCTTTAAAGGGATGATCACGTTAAAGTGAGGCTGTTAGGGTGGTCTTTAATCTGAGGTGGTATCCTTATAGAAGACATTTGGACACAGAGACATTACAGATGCCTTGAGGACATAGCGAGAAAGCAGCCTTCTGCAAGCCAAGGAGAGAGGCCTCAGAAGAAACCAGCCCTGCTGACCCTGCCCTTCATCCGGGAACTCTAGCCTCCAAAACTATCTATCTATAATAATAAAAGCATAATATGCTAATTAGACAGGATATCCTTCTGGATGATCTTCTAGACTAGGGGTGTCGAACTCAATCAGAGAAGGGGCCAAAATCTAAAATCCAGCCTAAATCGCAGGCCGAATGGTTTACTGAACAGTCATAAACTGTCATTGTGATGGAAACGCAGCGGAGTGCAGTGATGACAGCGTGGTGCGGGCCACATTGCAAGGCCTGGCGGGACGGATTTGGCCTGAGGGCCTTGTGTTTGACACAGGTGTTCTAGACGAAACCGAGGCTGCACGGGAAGCCCTGGCCTCGGTGCCGGAGGGAGGTGGGTGCAGCCGGAGGAGGGAAGCGTATTCTTGGATGAATTTCATCCACTGGGCCTCTAGTAAAAATAACTCCTATTGTGTCGACATAAGAATGTCTAGACCTGTGGAGAAGTTTTATAAATGTTCCTTTGAGTCAAACAGAAGACACCTGGAAGCAAGATCTCCAAGGACTGAGAAAAGTGCTGCTCGGCTTGATGCTTTGGAATTAAGAAGGGCTCGCTGGGAGCACTGCGGGAAGGTGGGGTTGGGTCACAGCGGAGTGAACAAGATTGGGTGTCCCTGGAGGGTGGTTTCAGTTCTGTGGGTGTGAAGAGAGGCATTTCAAAGGTGTGTTAACCTATGTGCATGAAAACCGTTTTTGCTTAAGGGACAGATAAACCCTTTGCTAAAGAACTTGTATACTTCAGGCATTACTACCCGGTTAGGAACTTAAAATGGTGAGGTAGCTTTTTGAAGAACCCCATTTTTTAATTCACCAGGCCTTGCTCCTTCAGATGACCACGTGTTCTGATAGATAGCACACACACTTTCTGAGCAGCACTTCAAAACATGAAGAAGTAGAAAATTGGGTCTCTAAAAATAAGAAAAATTCTATTGGGATGTTATCCACAAATTACTGAAAGATGAGGGAAATGTGTAGTTTGTGATGGATATTACTTTGAATAAAGCACTTTTGATGTTTCTCTTGAAATTATCTTGTTTTCTTTGATTACAAAATCCAATACACCTCGTAAAGACAAGACCAGTTTGACTGGTTGTGTAAGTTGCTGATCCATTTGATGGATTGAGGCAGAGTATATATATATTAGAAAGTGTTTTGATTTAATCATTGAATGCTTCAAAATGCTTCTGACATGTAGGCAATTTCCTTCGAGACATTTTTCCAAAATAATAAACTATTTCAAAAGATTTGTCAGTGTTTTAGTAGAGCATGTATAATGTCTTCTAACTTGTCAGTTTGAGTTTCAATTCTGTAAACCATCACTTCAAACCACTGACAAACTTTTCTTAAATTGGTGATTTAACTTTCTATTTGAAATACTTCTTGGAGCTATTATGATAGTAGTCATTATGGCATTTGTCAAGAAACCAAGATGTACAATTTCCAAATATTTCTTGCTTCAGTGAAGCTAAGAAGATTTCCCATGATTCCTGTCAATCATGCCATTTCTCTAGTAATAGCTTTCTAATGGTTCCCATTTCCCTTTGAATTCAATACAAGGGTTCCGTGCTTCAGCTCAGTAATGTCTGCTGGTTCCTTTCCTCACCTCCACCTGCCACTCTCTGCTGCCTGGGAGAGCTCTTCATGAATAGTCTTACGTATACAACCTCGAATAAAATCTACTCTACCTCCTACAATAAGATCTAGCGCATCTTTGGGAGCAAAAATTAATATAAGACACCGTCTTATTTTCGGGGAAACAAGGTATCTAGGTTTCCTGAATAGAAACTTAGGGGAGTTTTCTGATTCCTCCTTCAACCGACAAATCTAGTCACGACCTAATGACGCCACCTCTCAAGTTTTCTTAGGAATGATGGCCTCCCTGCCTCCCTGCCTTCCTTTAGGGCACGGTGCCTCTAGCTTGGGCTATTCAAGAACTTCTTGTTCCCAGATTTAAGCTTTCTCCCTCACGTCTGTCCTTAAAAAGTTGGTAGGTTGCTAGCAATTTTCAGCTATTGGACCATTGAACATGAACAAAGGAGAAACAAGCAGAAATGGATAAAGCATGTTTTATAAAACATTTTATGTACATTCCAAGCAACATAGGAATGTTTGTATAAAAAATGGTCATAAATCAAGTGCTTAATTTTTCTGTTATGCAAGCTAATTTCCTACTTTTCCAGATCAGATTTTGGAGTCAGAAATATGTGGGTTAAATATCATGACTTCCCCTTTTAGAAGAGAACTTAGGCCAGTTGCTGAATACCTCTAAGCTTCAGTTTCCTCACACATAAAAGAGAATAATTGTGCTGTCTGCAGCTGATAGGACTATTAGAAGGATGAAATAATGTGACCCATGTGAGTCACACAGAGTGGCGCACAGTAAGCACATAATGAGTGCCTGTGACTGTACAATCCAGGTCAGTGTGAAGGAGTAAACAGTGCAGGGCTGACTCGTTCCTTTCTAAAGAAACTCCCTCTAAGAAATGCTAAGAAGGTAACATCTGGAAAGGGGCGGCTGGATGAGACAGTAGGAGAGATCGCTGGTGGTGCCGGCGGGTTACCCTGGCAGCGCGGGAAGTGGGCAGGCAGGAGTAAGATGCCCAGCTCTGGCTGTGGACTTCAGGCTGCCAGTGGCACCTGCTCGCAGAGATGTCCAATGGCATGTGGATATTCGACTTGGAAGCTCGGAGAGGCTGGTGAGCATATGGTGTCAGCATAGACAGCTTGGAGGGGAATACAGAGGGGAAAAATAGGGATTGGGGATATTGAAAATACACATACAGAAAAAGGAGGGAACGCAAGACGCAGCAACTGAGACAGGGTCGCTGAGGATAATTTTGACTCGAAGTGGCTGGAAAATGTGGCTCCTCGTTCAGAGATTAAGGATTGACGGCTGGGAACGAAGCTGAGAGCTTCCCCCATTCGTTTGGTAAGAGTATACTTAGTTTGGTATTCATCTCACCTGTTGAAGATGAAGTTAATAAAAGCCTCTGTGCCAAGATGTGAGCACGCAGACCCATCCTGGGAGTTTTCCAGTAATAATGGGGATGCACTATAAGTCACTAAGTGCCAAGGCTCACAGTAAAGGACACAGTTAACAGATGTCTTTAATTAGTGTTTCTTCGGTTCTCCTGAAGCCACCTCACCTGCTTACTGTGGAATGTGGTTTGGAATGGGCGCTGGGGTTGCAGTGAATGGGAAGTGAGCCATGCAGAGAAGGGCATACTCATTGGTAAGATGTTTACTTGTGCTCTGGGCTTGGAGTGACACTTAGTGATCTTTAATGCAGCAAAATCAGAAAATACTCCAAAAGTTACGGGAGAGATCAGTCTCTTCATGCAATAGGTTATTCTGGAATTGCTGGAGGGGACAAATGGTGCCACTAGCAATCATATTTTCTGAAATAAGAAAAGTAGGAAATGTACTCTGACAAATTTATTTATGTCTCATGCGGGCAGAGACAGGACATTTGAAATTGAAATAGTCCTAAAAGCATCTGTGACTCATAGATGATAAGTGGGTGCCATCAGTGTACATGAGGGGATGTGGAACTGTGGTGGGTACATGGCTTCTCCCTCACCCAGGAGGCAGAAGGCTCAGAGCAGGGGCTGCGTGGGTGCAGATAGGAGTTTACCCAGCAGAGGGGCGAGCAGGGTACTCCAGGCAGAGGCAGCAGCAGGTGTAAATATATGAATGCTTGGGAGTAGGTGACATTTTTGGGGAATGACAACTTGGTGAAGATGCTTTGAGATAGTGACAAGAGGTGAAGCTAAAAGCACCTTAGGATCAGATTTTATTTATTTTTTATATGTATTTTATTGATTTTTACAGAGCGGAAGGGAGAGGGATAGAGGTTAGAAACATCAATGGAAGAAACATCGACCAGCTGCCTCCTGCACACCCCCTATTGGGGATGTGCCCGCAACCAAGGTACTACATGCTTTTGACTGAAATCGAACCTGAGACCTTCGGTGTGGGAGCCAGAGAATAGTGTTCACCTCTTCTTTCTGTTAAGAAGAATGATGCTCTTTTCAGCTCACTTCTACAGTCGGCACAGACTTAACCTGCAAGGAAGTCCTGTGCAGCAGTATTTAAATGCTTATCAGCGAAGGTCGGCCCCATTGGAAACAACAGCAGCTGAGTTCTGTGGGAGTGCTGGTGGGTGGGGGGAGGAGACACTGATGGAGGCTCATGCCATCGTCCCTCCTCCCCTTCCTGTTGGTTCCGCACCGGGGCAGGGAGCCACATATGTAACTAAAATTTTCAGTAGCCACATAAGAAAAAGTAAATAGAAACAAGTGACATTAATTTTAATAATATATGTTATTTAACCAATATCTCTAGAATATTACCACTTCAACATGTAATCAATACAGAACATTGGTGAGATATAAAATTGTCCTCTTCCATGTGGTGTCTTTGAACACGCCTTGTTAGGGGAGCCAGCAGGCTGCATTGGAAGCATGTGGCTGGGCTTTTGTCACAATATCCACCAGGTGTCACCGTGGTTTATAACTAAGCCCCAGGCACCAAGAAATGGTGACAGGTGTGGGGATTCAATCGGGTCTAGTAATAATTTATGTCGTTTTTAAACATTCGTTTAAAATCTTGCTTGGCATTGACTTGTATTGACATAACCTTCAAACACGTGGTATCTACAGAACGTGTGAAGTGCAATTAACAAGTTTTGCTTGAAAAAGTTTGTGTTTGGTTTGGTTTTTGTTGCAAAACTAGGGCTAAGAAGATGGCGGATGAAGAGCATATTTGGCACTGCATGCTTTATGAGTTCCAATTAGGAAGAAAAGCAAGTGAGGCTGCAAAAAACATCTGTAGTGCTCTTGGTCAAGATGCAGTTAGCGCCAGGAAAATGCCAGCGTTGGTTTGAGAAATTTCGCGAGGGAAATTTTTCGTTAGATGACAAGAGTGGTCGAGGCCGCGTGTCCAATTTTGATCAAGAAGCTCTTCAAGCTCTTTTGGTGCAAAATCCTCAAATTACCCAACAAGAGCTTGCGACAACTTTAAATTGTTCACAAAATACAATTTCCAATCAATTGCGTGCACTTGGCAAAGTCCAAAAGTTTGGAAAATGGGTTCCTCATGAGTTGACCGACAACAACCGTAATCAAAGAGTCACAATTTGCAGTTCGCTCCTCTCTCGTCAAAACTTGTTTGCCGTTTTTAGAGCCAATTGTTACCGGAGATGAAGAATGGGTGCTGTATGTTAATTTGAAAAGGCGGCCTCAATGGTTGGACAAAAATGAGGCTCCGCAGCCCACGCCAAAACCTTACTTGCATGCGAAAAAAGTAATGTTGTGTGTTTGGTGGAATTTTAAAGGAATTCTTCATTATGAACTTTTACCATCTAACCAAACCATTACAAGTGCAGTGTATAGTGCCCAATTGGAAAGGTTAGCCCAAGCTTTAAGAGAAAAAGAACCTGCGCTGATTAATCAGAAGGGCGTAATTCTTCACCACAATAACGCACGACCGCATACTGCAAGAATCACGCTGAAAAACTGCGCCAGTTGGAATGGGAAATTCTCCCTCAACCTGCATATTCTCCTGATATTGCCCCTTCCGATTACCATTTGTTTCGTTCTTTGCAAAACTTTCTTTTTGGAAAAAAATGTAATAATGAAGAATGCCTCAAAAATGCATTGACCAAATTTTTTGCATCAAAATCACAAGAATTTTACAACAGAGGGATTAAAATGCTTCCTGAGCGTTGGGCACAAGTAGTAGAAAACAACGGCAACTATATTGTTGATTAAATTTTGTTGTATTGTTTAAATAAATTCGATTTTAAAAAAAGTATTAGAAAACGACATTAATTATTACTAGACCTAATATTTGTATTCACACATTTTGACTTCTCATGTGTTTTGATTTCCACTTGAGATTTTTGTCTACATATATAAGCAGTCAAGCAGCATTTTTTTTACTACTTAAGTGAGTTTGCATTTAAAATGATTTGTGTATCAGACCCACCGTTCACCTCGGACTAGATGACCTGCCTGGTGAGAGCAAGTAATTATGAATTACACGCACCTGTAATACTTGACAACACAACAGAATAGCCTTAAGCTGGATCATCTCAAACACCTGAGCAGTGTTGCACCTCAGGTGCAACCAAATGGTGTCATTTTACCTTCTCAAATTGGTTAATAGAACATTAAACAGAAAACCAAAGTTTTAAAAAGTGACAATGT